TGTTTCTGCTGAGTGGCCTTCAGTCGGGTCTCGTCAACAGCACCAGGTGCACTGGCCACTGAGAAAAGAAGAGACGAGCACGGGTGGCAAAGGTCACTTCACTGTCGGCGATACTCGACATCGCGACTCAGAAAAGGCAGTGAAGTCAGAGAGACCTGCAGCAGGGCAGGTACACCGGCACAAGCCCGGGGCAGTAAGAGTCAGGCGAGGCAGCTCGTAAGCGATGCCACAAGGCAGTCCCCAAACCTGTGTCAGTCCAAGGTGCAACGCCACCAAGGGAGGTGCACTGAGGCTCAAGCCCAAAGGACAGCAGAGCAATGGTACACAAGTACCGCGCCCACCGTACCTCAAGGCAGGAAGGCTGGAAACAAAACTACAGCCCGCAGCAGGCACTGAGGGCAAGTCCAGGCACAAGCCGAGGACAGCAAGGCAGGAGCGCCAGAGCAAAAAAGAGTGACCTCAAGGTCACAGCCATGCGCTAAAACAGCAAGAAAAACTGAGGCCCCGGCCACCACCAAGGAACCTAAGACTCAAGTCCACGGCCAGAGCACCAAGGGCCTCAAGGCCGCTAAGGTCAGTGGAGACAGGTAGGCAGCACCGAGGGCGGCACAAGCCACCCAGGAGTGCGAAGCCTGGCAAAAGAAGAAAACATGCAAAGAGTGCGCAAGCACTGCGCGAAAAACCCTAAAACCAGCAAGCTGAGGCCCCGGCCGATAACAAAAGCACCTGAGAGACAGTGACAGCCACGCCTAAAGACCACAAGGCCAAGGCGCAGCGCACATGCGCGTACAACACCGAGGGCGGCACAAGCCGTCAGAAAGTCAAGCCTGGCAGGGCGCAAGCCCACAAGTGCACAAGCACAGAACGAGCCGGCCTGTGACGAGGCAGGGGGAGCACAAGCCCGCCCGCTGAGCCAGGAGTCACAGCGGCCAGCGGTGTGTAAGGAAGGCACAAGCCAGACAGGCAGCGGGCTCAAGCCAAGCATGTGCATGTACAGTCAGAGGGGCAGGCAGGCAGACCTCAGAAAAACAGCTTTCAGGGAGTCAGAGGCTCACGCTTCAGTCTCGGCGGCACTGACTACAGTAGTGACCGCTGTGTGAGCGTCTACTTGTGTTGCTCACTGGACGGCCACAGTGAAAGCCGCACCGTGCTCTGCACGGTGCAGCGCAGTAGCCACTCAGTGAGTGGCCGTGCTCCCTGAGCACTTTCGGCAGCCGCTGCAGCGGAAAGCGAAGTGGTAGAACTCCAAGCCCTGCAGGACATCCACTGCACACAGATAAGGCAGCTCTGCAGACCCACTGAGCTCTAACCGGCATGTCGGTGGAGGCTCGGTGGCCGCCTGGACCACAGGCAAGGCAGGCTGAGCAGCAGTGGGCACCTCTGAGGCAGAGGAGGCAGCGCCACCAGTACCCCCGTCCTGTCCCCCAGCTCCGCCAGGTGGTGCCTCAGACGAAGCAGCAACGGCCAAGGAAGAGCCCTCAGTCGAGTCAGTGGCCACCGGCGCGTTGTGCTCCGAACCTGTGCCAGGAGCATCGTCAGGAGCAGGGGCAGAAAGGTCAGGAGGGGCAGCCACGGTCGGTGCCCGAGCCGGCGGACGGCCAGGAGGAACAGCATCATCGTCCATGGCGTTGAGGTCAAGCTCCTGCAACCAAGGCGGTGCCTCTGCAAGAAGGCTGGGCGAAGCACCAGCGGCGGCAGGGTCAGGGTCTGCGACAGGTGCGGCAGACTCAGCAGCAGGGCTTGACTCACTCCATTCCCACTCTGGCAGCGGCTCGATCTCCCCATCGTCGCTCTCGTGGTCGTCAAGGTCAGCAGGCACAGCTGCTGACAGATCACCAGAGCCAGGAACTGAGTCAGACGGAAGCCCACCTTCATCAGCTCCACCAGAGGGTCCTGCAGCGGCAGAGGGCTCCGGAGGTACTGCGTCACTGCCAAGGCCAAGAAGGTCGGTGTCCACAGGCTCGCGAGCACCTAAGTCAGGAGCCTGGCAGGTAGACAGGACAGAGGCCTCAGAAGAGTCAGAGTGACGATCTTCCTCCAGGATGTCCTTAGCGAAAGCAGCCAGGCGTCGGAGCTCCTCCCTGGGGATGGCCTCAAGGGCCGCCTGCAGGAGGTCAGTGTCAGCCTGTGCCAAGCTGCGCGCCCTCCTCACCAGACGGGACAAAGGGACGAGCGACATGACCAGCAACGTCCCAACAGCTAGCACAGACAGCAACAGAACACAACACAACAAAAACAGGCACTTAAGCCAAAATGGCCGCGAGGTGGCATTAAAGTGACTTGCAGGCAAAGTGTACTTAAAGCCAAAGAACCTCAACCCGAAACCTTAACCCCTGCACCTTAAATCCCTCAAACCGTAAACCCTAGACTCTCAACCCCTCGAGCCTTTAACCTCTGAACACCATACCCTCAAACCCCCTGACCCTCAAGGCTTCAGCCGGGACCCACCCTGAACCCCTCATCCCCTAAACCCTTGAACTCAAAAACCTGCAAGGCTTCGACGAATTCCCCTTGTCACCAGCCAGGGGAGCCCTCTGGCAAGCCGTCATAGCTGCATTGCATGGAATGACCTGGGTCTGATTCGAAAGTGTCGGACAGTGTCGGACGCTGCAAAGGTGTCTGAAGCAATTTTGGGGAGCGGGACGTGCAAATCAAGCTGGCGAGCCTCGGTGCGCTAGAGAGCAAAGTAGACTCAGACGCACTCATCACGCACATGCAACACTGTCCGGCCAATCGAGGCAAAGGCTCTGATCCCGGCGAACAACGCCATCGAAGCCTCCCAGCTGGAACCCTTGGCCTCGGAGAAGCTGTCCGTGGCCCAAACTGGACAATGAAAAGATGATGAAACCTGGTCCCACACACAAGCTGCGAGAATAGCAGACAACGTGATGGCATCTGCCACGCCACCATCTGCTTCAAAAGCCTCGCACCACCGGCTCTCCGACCCGCACCCACCGCACGATACCGCACATTCCCAGATCTCGGCACCTCGAACTGCTGCAGAGCTCGAGGCCACTGTGAAGACTGTCCCAGAACAGAAGCAAGGGAGCCCAGGGTCATGTTGCTGCTTTGCACCTGCAAGCACAAGCGCTTATCGCTTATCCCATGCCCAGCTTGGCTGCTTGGCTGGGCTTGCGAACAGCATCCAGGAAAGACTGGCGGCAGAGGCCAGGCGTGCAGCGTTGAAGAATAGATTGCAAATCTTGATGACGATGGGCTATGGGATCGGGCCTCACTGGTAAATTTTCAATCACAGAATGACCCTTGTCGACGAATCTGCCATGAAGATGACACGATCAAGACTGTGGTGTCATTTTGCGCCTCAACACGCCCTTCAGTTCGGTTTCTTGGAAGTTGTTGCTCATCAATCCGTGCACAACCAAAGACGAATCCGATGGAACTGGTCACATGCCTGGCTGTTTTGCATTTCGGAGAACAGATGCCTCGGCTGCAGAGATGGACGAGATGGAAAACGGCCAATAGAAATGATCTAGGACGCTGACAAAGCCAGTGTCCAATGATTCCCGGCCCCACTTGCACCAATCGAAGCCTCACAGTAGATGCTCAGTGCAAATTCTGTCGATCCGTACACCGTGCGACTTGGACATGAACGTTGTACGTCATGCTGCTGGGCTGAATTTGTCTCGAAGGCAATGATGCCGCGAGGTCAAGTGCATGTTGCCACTTGAGTGCCTTTTCAAGGCAGCGTGCAGCAAAATACCAAAAGCTCCAGGAGATGAAAATGCGGCGCAAGCATAGACTAGAGGGCAAAATGCAGATCGTGCCTTGGCAATGCAACTGATGGCCACATTCAGAGATGCAGCATCCTTAGAACCGTTGGTTTTGGATGGCAGGGGCAACCCTCTTCGGATGTGTAAACCTTCCGTTGTGTCTAGCAGCCTCCGCCTCTTCCAGAATTTGTGTTGCCATGGTCCTCGTCAGTCCGAACTAGACTCTAGACTCGAGTCGAAGGACACTAAAGGCGGCTTTGCGAAAGAAGCAGCAGAACCAACTAGTGTGACTCATAGTGACTGAACATGTCACTCTGACTGGGCAGTCAAGCTCTTCTTATGCATATTATATGCGCAGTGGCGACTTCCAGGCTAAGGCAATGGCCACTGGTGACCTTTTTCGCAGGCAGCCATGGCCTGAAATGCTGCTGAGCCCCCGGCAGGTTCTTCTACAACAAACCACTCAGACTCCGCGCCGAGTCCAATGAGGCACCGGCAGATGAACATACAAACTTGTTGAGCAGCTCGGAGCCGCGCGCCTGCGGCCCGCAAGCTCATACAGTCTTAAACATCATACCAACAGGCCAAGGAGTAAGACATGGCAGGACGGCAGGGGCAAGAGGGAAAGAAAAGAATACAATTGACGATTTCCCACAGACATGAAACCGTTCAAGTTACGGCAAAGAACCTAGAAAGCATCCCTTTCACGGCAGAAGCACTTGAGTGCTGACGAACAAGTTCAAACAGTGACGGATCGCGAATATTTCCAGCTTCACCGAATGCCTCCTGCTAAGAGGCAGTGGAGACAGGAAGGCTCAGTTAGGTCCATCAGTGCCCCCCAAGTGGCCGATGTCGAAATGATATTTGGGATGATGCATAGAATCCTGTGCGACTTCATTGCGCTAAAACATCTCATTTCGCCTCAGTTTCTCTGGGCTGAACTGCAAGCCAACACACAGACAAGAACAACAACAAACAGACACGTTTCATCACCAAGGGGGGAAGTTTCCCGGTGCTGACACGCAGTGCTGCTCCTGCCATTCGAAGCTTCGAGACACCGCAGCACCCGAATGATCGAACTGAGCCGGCAAAGGGGGCAACAAAACATGCTCCAGGAAAAAGTATGCCGCTTCACTATCTGCAGTCAAACGTGCAATCTCTCCTCCTCCAGGAGACTGATGCTGAGATCCTCAGGCGCAGCAAACATCCCTGAACCGACTTGACCAAAACAAGCGGCGACAACAATGCAAATGAGATGGACCTGCGGGGCTTCGGTAAGAGCTTTTTTTGTCTCCGTACGCTCTTTCCTCACCACGCCTTTTTGTAATTCACGCGGCTGGCCGAGCAAAAAAACAACACCGGGCGCGTTTCTTTTTTGTTCGGGACGCGGCCGGCCGAGCAAAGAAAACACTGGGTGTTTTGTTTTTCGGGACGCGGCTGGCCGAGCAAAAAAACACACCGGGCGCAATTTTTTTGTTCGGGACGCGCCTCTTGATTTCAATATGATTTCTATTGATTTTAGTAGGATTCTTCGTATAATTTTGATAGGATTCTAAATAGAATTACTAGCGATGATGCTACTAACTTCAATAGGATTCCTATTAACTTTAATCGATTTTGTTTAATTTTAATAGGATTCAACAAGATTTTGGATTCTACTAATTCCAATAGGATCCCTGTTGGTTTAAGTTAATTTCAATAGGACTCCTGTTAATTTCTACTAATTTCGAAAGGATTTCTATTAATTTTCGTAGGATTCTAGCACGATTCTAAATAAGTCTACGAAGGATTCTATAATAGGGTTCCTATTAACACGAGCACCTGGTCGTGCGCGACGGACGGCCACGTATCCCGCCGAGAGCAGCACTTGGCCCAAGACATCGAAGTTGTTGGGACGCCAACAACATGCAGAATTGCAGCTTGCTTGTACACATGCAGCATGCAGCACGCACACAAATGAGGCGAGACACGTCGGCATTCCGCCAGATGGTACCTGAGTTGTGGCGTAAGTCACTGCAATGCGGAAAACATCTCTTCACAGCAGCATAGATATCTAAGTCCTCGGCGTTGGAGCTGGCTCCAGTGCGGGAACGAAGGTAGCTGCACTGACACATGTGATGAGCCAAAAGGTGCTCGCAGCTACAGGCATGTAGACGTCCGAGATGTGTGGGTTTGGCACAGCTAACTATCCTGGCAAGGTAGTGGTAGCGCAGAATAGAATGCAGCAGGACAAGCAGCAGCAGAAGAAGAAACAGAAGCAGCTGTAGCAGCTTCAGGCTTCAGCAAATCTGTGAGACACGAAGGAAGGAACCGGAACCGCACCGGGGCAGAAGCACAAGCTGGCATAATGGCAGGAGGAGCTGGGGCGCTCATGAATGGCATGGCTCTTGTCTGTTAATTCCTCCCGATCCTATTAATCTACTATAAATCTACCAGGCTAAGGGCCAAGCACAGCCCGATGCAAAGCAGCCAGCAACAGAAGCAACAACAGCAGCAGCAGCAGCAGCTTCGGCATATCTGCGAGACGCGAAGTAGCAACTTCAGCAGATTCTGTGAGATGCGATAGGCGATAGGCGATAGGCGATAGACATGTCTGAACGAGAAGGAACCAGAACCGCACCGGTGCAGAGGCGCAAGCTGGCATAATGGCAGAAGGAGCTGGGGCGCTCATGAAAGGCACGGCTCTTTTCTACTTTCCGATGGCAGCTGGAGGCTTACAGAATCCATCAGAAGGCCGCGTCGGCGCAATATGCCAAGAAGAGCGGCTGGCAGCAAGAATGTTGACACCTCAGGGCTTGAATCAGCAACATACTTGAGGACAGTCTGTTTAAACGCCTGGAACACGTTATTAATTCATCGCGAAACCCTAACCCTAAACAACGGGGGCGTATAGGAGACTCAGGCGGCGCAGGACAGCAGGCGCAGGAGGCACAGGAGGCGCATAAATACACGGCACAATGGCAAGGCGGCGGCGCAGGAGCGACGGCGCAGGAGACGCAGCAGGCGTGGGAGAGGAGGCGCACACAGCGCAGAAGGGGAGGCGCAGGGAGGCGCAGGAGACGCACGAGGCGCGCAGGATTCCATGAATTTCAATAGGATTCCTATTAAGTTTAGCAGGAAAAGGAAAAGAGCTGGCCGAGCAAAAAAAAACACTCCGGGCGCGTTTTTGTTTTGTTCGGGACGCGGCTGGCCCAGCAAAAAAAACACTCCGGGCGCGTTTTTTTTTGTTCGGGACGCGCTCGGTCACTCACTCACTTGCGGGCCGGGGCCCGTGCGGGCCTTCGTCCAGGGGCGCGTTTTTTTTTGTTTGGGACGCACCTCTTAATTTCAATAGGCTTCCGATTAATTCTAATAGGATTCTTACTCATTTTAGTAGGATTCTTGATTTCAATAGGATTCCTATTCACGCTAATAGGATTCTTATGAATTTTAGTGGGATTCCAAAAAATTTTCTCAAGGATTCTATTAATTTCAATAGGACGCGGCTGGCCGAGCAAAAAAAAACAACTCCGGGCGCGTTTTTTTTTGTTCGGGACGTGCTCGGTCACTCACTCACTTGCGGGCCGGGGCCCGTGCGGGCCTTCGTCCAGGGGCGCGTTTTTTTCTTGTTTGGGACGCGCCTCTTAATTTCAATAGGCTTCCGATTAATTCTAATAGGATTCTTACTCATTTTAGTAGGATTTTTGATTTCAATAGGATTCCTATTCACGCTAATAGGATTCTTATGAATTTTAGTAGGATTCCAAATAATTTTCCCAAGGATTCTATTAATTTCAATAGGACACGGCTGGCCGAGCAAAAAAAAACAACTCCGGGCGCGTTTTTTTTGTTCGTGATGCGCTCGGTCACTCATTCACCTGCGGGCCTGGGCCCGTGCGGGCCTTCGTCCAGGGGCGCGTTTATTTTGTTCGGGACGCGCCTCTTAACTTCAATAGGATTCCGATTAATTCTAATAGGATTCTTACTAATTTTAGTAGGATGTGCAATTTCAATAGGATTCCTATTCACGTTAATGGGATTCTTATGAACTTTAGTAGGATTCCAAACATATTTTACTAAGGGTTCTATCAATTTCAATAGGATTCTTCTTAATTTTGGTAGGAAATGAAAAGAGCTGGCCGAGCAAAAAAAAAAGCACCCCGGGCGCTTTTTTTGTTCGGGACGCGGCTGGCCGAGCCAAAAGAAGGAAAAGGAAAAGAGCTGGCCAAGCAAAAAATAAACACACGTTCCCGGTGCTTCACCGGAAAACTGAGTCCAAGGCCCATCTAGTACCATGTGTCAAGGCTGTCATTGTGGTGCTGAAACTGACCGCCTTGATGCTCGCAGTCAACGGAGCCATGATTTTCGTTGCAGAGAGCCATTGAACTGGGAGTCTGGCATTGGGTGGGGCCCCGCGCAAACCCATTTGCCGAAAAAGCCGCAAGGCCCGTTGCCACTGCCGAGCCCTTGACTTTAAGACAAACGGAGGACAACATGACCTCAGACGTTAAGCCGGGAAGCCTCTCGCACGCTTTGATGACAACGTTGAAGAGCACAACCTGGGTCAGAGGAACCCCTGCGCCAGTGGTTAAGGAATCGCTTTAGCGGGTCGCCAATCGAACTTCTATGCACATACCAGATCGCTCATGCCGCTTTTCGCTCGGATCCAAATCCACCGAACCCGGTAGTTTCGGTGCAAGTCTGCAAGCTTTTCGCAGCTCAATTTCTGAACCGGAAGCTTCTGCAGACACTTTTACCTCGTAGCTGCCACTCGTTCCGCGCTGGAGAGACTGGCAGGTTGCTTCACAAACTCACCGGGATTCTCGCTTGTCTTCCCCTGTGTGCCACGCAAACTTCACCGAAGTTACCTGGGCAACCAAGAAAGATCATGAAAGGCTTTCAATGGCTTGCCCCGGCTAGCTTTTACTTGTGCTGCCACGGAACAAGAGTCAGTGCCAGAACAGTGCTGCGAATTTGCGGAGTGACCGCTCCAAGTGGCAGCAGCAGCAAACAAAAGGCAAGCGCGGCAGCATGAAGCGTCCAACTCCTGGACTTGAGCACGTTGAAAGCTCTTGCACAAGTCAACAGGGCCAAGCTGGCCGGGGTCCTTGCATCATAGAAGTCCTTGAGCAGCGTCCGGACAGTTTCTCCACTTGGGTCCGACACAGCCAATGCCTGGAGCAGGACAGAAGAGAGGAGGTTGTGATTGCGGGTGCAAGGCCTCTAACTACTCCTGAGGGCCTGGGCCAACTTGGGCGGGGCCTGTTTCAGCAGCGCTTTGGCGGCCTGCCACTTCCGCTCCCCGAGACCGGATTGACTTCGCCTCGCAGTGAAGACTTTGTGGCTTTGCGGCTTTGCATCCCGCGCCCGGCCTGAGTGACGCAGAGTCCTCGGTGCGCTCACGGCGCGAGCCACAGATGCCTTCGAGCCTCGCCGGTACAGGTACAATGGTGCCGCACGCTCGCAAACGACCGAAGCACACTGCTCTTGTGCCGAGCACACTGTGTGCTTAGTCCTCCCTTGTTCAACGCGACGAGGCATAATGCCGGCTCGTCGCTGAGCTCGTGGTGGCGCCCGAAACCACATTAAGGCATCCATATAACCTGAAGACGGATCAAGCGGCTCTTTCAGTTGAATCTGCGCGACTGGCGCACCTTGCCAATATAGGCCACGCAGTACACGAACTGGTGGGGGCAGGATGCACCACCAAGGAGGAATGAGAGGTGGGCGAATGTCCGACCTGTACATCACAAGCTCGACCTCTTCTGATTCCACATGCAGTGCACAAAAAAAATTAGCAGCAGCTTTATCAGCTTCATCGCATGTTACGGCAATCAGCAATCTCGATGCCATGGAGGCGCATAACACCTCCAATACCGGAGACTTTGACGATGTGGTCCTCTTTGGCACCGCGCCATGGCACAAAGAGCGAGCTCCACATCATGCCATCGTAGTAGTACCTTGTGCGCGCAATGAAGACCCTGGCGAGTGCTGGCCAGGTCTGCTGAAGTCTGCTGATTTGCAGGAAAGCAGCTTTCCCCCGACATTCTTTGGAAGCACTCCGCCAATGCCAGGAATATGGCACGAGGCCATGAGGAGTTGAATGGCCGTCTCATTGTCTGGGAATTCATCCACAACCTCGCCTTCGCGCGATTGCAAAGCTGCTACTGGTAACATTCACAGACAGCACAAAACTGTAGAATCTTGGGGTCTGGCCCATAATGAATGGCGGACGAAATAGAGCTCGAGTGATCAGAATCCGTAGCCTGCATACTGGCTACAGCCATTACATGCACCTGATCCCAACAAAGTTCTCGGCCTTCCAGCGATGACCTTGTAGGCACCAGGAAATTGATACCTGGGAGCACTGGCTTCTGACACCCTCGGCTGGGGATGCGCCACATCTTTGCCAGGCAAGACGCTGCCGCAGAGCCTCCTCCGCACAGACAGGCATTTTCCAAGGCTGCCTGCGACAGATTTTGTACCTCGTGGCGGTACGCCAGAAAGTCGTGGCTTGAGGTCTCAGCTCGCAGCTGAGTCACTGGGCCAACACGTGTTCGAAGACATCTGGCACTGAGGTCCCAGAAGCCAGCAGCAGGGCAGTCAGTGCTCCAGCACTCCTAGCACTCAGGGAATTCCGGAAGCCGAAGGCTCGTAAGCAGGTCCGGGACATGCGGAAGAGCTTCGAACCACTGAATCCGAGACCGTCCGGGTAGTGGCTCGGATCAGGGGAACTTCCAGGTGCCGGCATCAAGTGTTCCTGGAATGACAAAACGACAGACCCCTCTGCTGCAGGCGTGTCTGCACAGAACTGTCGTAAGCCATCTCTACGGCCAGGCACCTGCAGAAAGGCAGCGACCCCGAACCTGCGCAGGAGGGGACAGTCGGGTTCCGATCGGCAAGCTTCGATTGCCGTGCAAGCACGGATAGAGATGCAGGCCAGAAGCTGATAAACGTAGAGCCAACCAGCAGAGTCGAAGGAGAAGGTGACGCGCTCCGACGGCATGCCAGGCTTTACCGCATCCTTTGCAAAGAGCACAGAAGGGGGCTCCAAGGAGTGCACCTCCCAATCCCGTCTCTTCGACCAGTTCTGAAAAAAACTCTTCTGCAGTTGAAAGGGTCTCGCAGCGGATGGGTCTCGCGGAAGTGGAAGTCCTGCAAAGCACGAAAGACCCCACGAAAGATGTAGAGAGCCGAGCAGAACTTGGTGTCACCAGCGCTCTGCGGTGCTTGCTGGCAGGGTCCGTGTACAGCACCACACCGTTGAGTAGGACCTCAACTCCCGAAGCATCATGACTGGTCGTGGTCTCCTCAAGACCACCATGGAAGCTTGAGGCATGTGGCGAAGACATGCAACATTGCCAGGCCAATGGGCAAGCGCCCGGTCACCGCCATAAACCTGATTAGAGTTTGCAGTCCAGATTCTGCCAAGCCCCGGCTCTCTGAGACTCAGCTTTTGCCGCTGCAGTAGCAGAAGGCTGCACACCACATGCAGTGTCCCAAAAACAAAACTTTGCGCACCGGTTCTCAAGCCCTTCCCAACGAGGTCAAAAATCACAAGAGTGAAGGCGACTGGTGAGAAGGCATGCTGAGAACCGCACACGTTGTGGAGCAAGCACACGACTGACGATGCAATCTGAAGCTCCGCAATCGGTGCCTTCCCATGTGCTAGGGCCAGGAACAAACAAATGCCCAACATGTGATTGAAACCTTCAAACGCAGCCGAAACAATGGGCCCAGATGTGCCGCTTGATCTTACCACTGGGTATCCTGCCTTTCGGAAGATCGGCAGCTTGTGTATCCCGAACAAGGCCATGCTGAATGACATGTACCTGGCACCACTCTGCTTGCACAAGTTTGGCATGACGATGTGACCGCTGCGTTCAACCAAGACGCTGCAACGTCTGGGCGACAGAGGTCACAAGCGCTGGCACCAGCGTCGGCCCGACACAGGCATAGTGGAAGCCGAAGAACCAACCCCACCTATCAGCTGTCTGATTTCTCGGGATCTAAGGATGAAGGCACGGCTCGAAGCTTGATGCAACGTTCATCCAAATTTGATGAAGGCGCATATTCAGCACGCGATAGTACATGTGGAAGAGCGATACATCCGAGAACTTCTTGCGAAGTATCATGAAAAACCTCAGGTGTTAAAAGACTTGCAGAAATGTTCCACCCGACATCAACGAACTAACTGAGTGTTCGCCCACGGCCGGGGAGCGTATCCAGTAGCTCGAGCTGTCTGCAGTGGTACTGCAACCAAATCAGAGGCTCTGCAACATTCTTTGGCCTTCCAGCATGTTTCGGGAAGCAGAACACATCTCCGCCCAGCTGCGACACGACAAGATGCGACATTGGACGCAGGTGCCACTGAGCACACGACAGAGTGTCCAAACGAAAATCAGAACTGGCTGCGTCATATACGATTGCGGCAATTTCGTAGACATTCATTAACACCTGCATGGAATTGTAAACCGCCATGAGTTCGAAAATGACCTTGGATACATTGCAAGTCACGAACACAGCTACTCTCCTGCCAAACATTTACAGTCGTGTCGGGACAACAACATGGTGTTTCCTGCTGTTATGACCAATCCATGCAACACACAGGATGCATCTTGTGAGTTGCATATTAGTTGGCGGCGGCACAGCGCACACGAGCCGAATTTGCAGCACGACGGTCGGCTCAAGTGATTGCTACAAGACTGCTGTAGCTCTTGTTGGAAAAATAACTGCAAAGCCGCATCAGGAGAGAAGGTAATGCTTGCAAACAGTGTGAAACCATCTTGGGCCTGTACGCTGGGAGTAAGGTGTACATTGTTAGGGAAGCTCGCCCACAGCGACAGTTTCAGTTAACCAAAAAAGACCAAACCCCCAACAGTTTCAAGTGAAAGCTCTTCAGAGACCTTGAACCGAACCCTACGAAGAGGGCTTAGTGGGAAACCTGAAACCGTTAAACCCGAATAGACCGCTGGCCACTCATCCCGCTAGATCACAAGCGGTGGGCCACCTTCAGCGAACTCTCCCCTAAAAGAACTGGCGACTGAGCGAACCCGCAAGCCGCAAGCCTCAAAACACGCGACATGCAAAAGATGGGTTGCCGAGCAGGAATTGAGGTGGATTGAAATCAGAAATGGATATGCCGGGCGAGCAAACAAAACACAAACACTTGAAGAGGCTTTGTGTGGCAGGCCCAACACTGGAATCCCAGAGATGAACATTTTGGATTGAACTCGTAAGCCGACCGGTCAAACCAAACCCGCTTGGCAAAGGATTAGATTTGCAGCAAAGCCCAGCATTTCCAGTCCTCATGCAGTTCGTCTTGCGACACTCCCGAATCCCTCGTTGCCGGCTACAGGAGTCAGCGGATCGCATGATTCTCCCGTGCTTTTTGTTCATAACTCCATTTCACACGACAGTGAAGACAACCAAGCTACTGTCTCCAGTAGCATCAATGTTACCGTGCATACTTCGGACTTGCGGCAGCTCGAACTGGCGACCGACGCTCCATCCACCGCACACCAATGAAGACCAGGAAGCAGTATGCGCAGGTCACTAGCACCTGGCCGCTCTCGCATCGATCGGTCTGATGCAACTACTGTAGCACTTCTTAAGCAATCCATCGACTCGTATCTGAGGCTTGCACTGCACTGCCCCACCTCACATGTCGGAGGCTGCGGAAGCGATTGCACGGCCAGAGCAGAGGAGCTGCGATGTTGCATTCCAGGCCACTGGATGTCTGCAAGCTGGCGCGTGCCCAATTCAAAGGGGGCGGCAGGTCCAGCGTGGACCATCTTTCCGAGCTGCGACATCACGGATAGCACATAGGCCATGTACCTGACTTGCTTGAGGCATTTGAGCTGTTCAACAGTAAGCGGCACTTGCACACTTGCATACATTGGTCAACTGTACACCACATCGGCACCTTTGCAATATATGTATACACGGATAAATAATGAAGGGTTTCGGATCGAGTCACGGGCTGCTAGGCCCAGACAGACCCCCACGTGCAAATAAGCACGCCGCGAGCCATCCCACACTCGCCGAGCTGGCACAGGAGAGCCCGTAAGCGAGGCTCTACGGCCCAAGACAGAATCAGAGCCTCGGGAGCTAATGGGAAAGAAGCCACAATGGGGTCGGATGTTGGCCAGGAGCAGGACGACAGCGAGGTGGAAACAATTCTTGGCGACAGGGTGCCTCCTACTCCAACTGGGAGGGACACCATGCAACGTGGGAGGAGCAGCCGTTTCCTTCCTGCTCGAGGGGGCCAAGAGTCGCGCCAGCCCAAGGAAAAGCCACCAACCAAGACAATGGCGGCAGATCTCGTTCGATGGGTACAGAAGCTGGGATGCTCACAGAGGAACGAGAGCGGGCAGACCAAGGATGGGCTATGTTCCAGGATGGCCTCCGGGAGAAATTCCGCAAAGAGAGGGAGAAGTACAAGGCAGATGTTGCGAGACTGGACCAAGAGCTGGAGGAAAGCCAAGCGGCATAGAAGCAGGCCTTCCTGGAGCTGCAAGAAGCCATGTCCACCCCAGCTGTGTTGATCTCCCCACCGCCTCAGAGCGGAGAGGCCGAAGAGTCGGACGAGCTCCTTGGGACCTGCGAAGACAGCGACACGGAGATGACGGAGGCTGTCATAACGTCGTAGAACAGGTCCAAAAGCGGGTGAAGGCGATCATTGGATCCGAAGCAGAGACCCGCACCATCGGACCCCTACCTACCGTCGCCCTCAATGCGGGAGGCAATGCCATCGCCACCGCAAAGAACCAGGTTGCGACACGGCGAACACCGGTAAAAGAAAAAAGGGCGAGAGCCCACGGCGGCGACCCAGCCGGGAACAAACCTCAGCCAAAAGCTCGACGAAGCCAGACAAGCGGCAATCATCGATATCGGGAGGAGGACGAAAGTACCATGGTGGGCTCACTGGGAACTGGAATGCCACCCCACGAGCACGACATAGACTGGGCAAGTCGCTGTCGAGCAGAAGACGAGATGCCGGAAGGGTGAAACATAATTCCTGGCAACGTATGAGTGGGCCTTTTCGGCGGCAATGATGGTTTCAGAGAAGCAGGCCTGGGAGGTTCCACAGGGGTTTTTTTCGATTTGCCCCCGGATCTTTTTCAGGTGACCTGCGCGTTCTGCGGGATCATCAGTTCAACTCAAAGAACGAGCACAACCATGAACGCCGGAGAGCGACTCTTTGCTCTGGGGCTCCACTGGGCGAACGGACGTGGCTGAGTTTGCTGCCTTTCGCAAATCACTCCGTGCAAGCCGAACTACCTATTGCACTCGCTGCACACACAGCCTCGCTCGCAGCACTCGAACACTCCACATTTCTCACTCCTTTGCTTCATGCTTCGGTCTGGGACCAGCTTCGGCAGGCACCAGGGCTCTTATCAAGTGCCTGCAAAATGAGATTGCCGGTGGCGATCTTGTCGACTTGAATTAGCCGGCGATTGCAAGGTCACTGGCCCGAAGTTCTCGGGAGCCTACGCCGGAAAATACTTTGCCGAGGCTCTGCTAAAGCAGCCCTCGCAGATGCGTCGCTCCCGTCCGATGGCCTCTAGCCGGCTGCGAGTCTTTCGCGGGTTGGCCAAGCGACGCTGAGCTCCTCCTCCTCCTTGTTTGTGTTTGCACAAGGGGATGCCCTCCTCCAAAGACTCCAAGTGCAAGTGGGAGGTGTCCGTCGCAATATAGCCCACCGGTTTGGTGGGGGTGACCGGTTTCTTGGTGCTCCTGGCCGCCTCTGTCATCCAAGAGCCAAAGCTCTTGTCCTGTTGCATAACTTTGGCAATCTCAGTTTCCTTCACACGCAGGATCGACTGATTTGCGTCTTGTGCGGTTTCTCCCGCCAGGACGGCACGGGTTGCAACCGCGGCCGACGCAGCTCTATGACGACCCGCCATGCAGTGTAATAAGACGTTGTCTCCATTCAAGACCGTGCGTGCCACCTCCGCGAACACTCGGGGCCAGTCCTCTTCTCTGCACCTCTTATTCGCGACGTTAAACAACACGTTTCTGGTACAGAGGGAGATGCCTTGGCGGCGTTCTGGAGGCACGTCCATGCGAGTCAGGGCCGTGGTCCCGGGCCGCCTCCCTTTCGGTGAAGACCAGACAACCAAAGCTCCCCACAGGGACGGCCGCCGCACTCGTCGACAGGCCACCGATCATAGACTGCCTGGGAGCCCTCCAACATAGGATCCCGCTGAGGCCGCGGCGTCTTCAACTCCTGCGACTTGGGCTTGGACTTAGGCTGGCCCTCTGCTCCCACGGGTGGCCCTTCCCGGAGGCGAGGTCTGGCCTTAGACTTCGGCCCCCGTTTCTCCTCAGGCTCCTCCACACCAAGGCGCGCGCGCGGCTGGGTTCACTCGCTGCGCCTCTCTTGGGCTTTGGGGCCCCTCGCTGCTCGCCTTCGTCATGGCGCTCTCGGGCCTGCCGCTTCCTCGTGGTGCTCGGCAGCTCCTTTGGCGGGGAAGCCGAAAGGACATAGTTGCGACCCTTGCACTCCAAGGCCGGGTGGTGACCTCCACAAAAGGTCAACTTGGTCGCTGCGCACCGGTGGTCCTCAGAGCACTCCTCGGCACACAGGGGGCACCTCCCCAAATTGCGCCCTGTTGGGGTCAACCAAAGTTCTCTTCACCCGACGAGTGGACCGGCATAGCACTCCAGCTTGTCCTGCCAGCCACCCAGGGCCGTGAGCTCGTTGGGGGACAGCTGAACGAGCATACCAACTGAAGGCCCCACTCGCATCCAGCTTTCGGAGGTCAACTCCTCCGGCTTATCAAGCGCCGTGGCCAACGCCACCTAGGCAGCCAGGGTTGACTCCCGAAAAGACAACGGGAAGCCCTTCCCGTCAAAGCACAGGCCACACACTTAGAACGCCTGGACGCCGGCAGCGGCTCGGAGGCCTTGACCCATGGGTCAATCCCATTTCGAGGTGAACGCGGACGGGATGGCGAAGTAGAAGCCCGTGCGTTTCCTCAGCTGCTTGCCTTTGCTGCAAAAGGCACGCACGGTCGACCTCGTGATAGAGAGCACATCGCTCCTGGTAAGGTGCACATAGCGCATGCACGCTGAGGCCTGGATCAACTGGCCCAGCAACGCTATCCAACGTGGGTCTCCCACCTGGCATTGGGCCGCAATGGCATTCTCGAGCTGCACCAGCATAGGAGGTTCCGCCAGCACAGCCTGCCTGTCGTCACGGGGTCGCTCCCCTTTGGCAGTCGGCCCTGCCACTGGAACTCTCCATGCAAGCTCCGCCTGCTTCACGAACCATCGGAGTGGGCCACTGCACTGTGAGGGGCTTTACACCCCTGGTGGATGAATGCTTCCAAATCCAACCGATCCACCACCTCCAATCCATCGCGGGCGCGCCGCCTGGAAGTGTTGCAGTTCTCTGAGGGTCAAGAGTGCCCTTCGCACTGTAGGGGCCTCTGCTGCAGCACACACCTTGCTGACCGACCGGCGGACGTAGGACTCCCATTCCGCCTGCCTCCCGAAGAGAGCTCGCCTGTTCATCTCTGCACCCGCGCGTCAATCCACAAGTCCGTCATCTCATCCAGGACCTCGGTTTGAATACGGCAGCTGCTTTAGGTCGGCTGGCTTGTGTCGCCGGCGGCTTTGGCTCGGCTCGCTTCCGCGCCAGGGGCGGACGCACAGACGGCTTAGCCGCCCTCCTCGTAGCTCATGAAAACATAGGCGAAATCACTGTCGGCTGTCAGGGCAAAGGCCCTGTGCCACGTTGCCACCCGCATCTCCGCCGACCACCCTTCGCCGAAAAGGCCGGAGGAAGAGGAGGCCTGCTCCGCCTCCGCATCCCCAGCCGCTTCCACGGACTGCGCATAAACCCCCGCCATGACTGCTGCTAGCATGGGTCTAAGCGATGAGCCCGCAACATACGCGCCATTCTCTGTCATAGGCTGAGGGGCTGGAGAAAGAGGACAGGAGGAGACAGGACCAGCTCGTGGCCACGAGTTACATCTGTGGGTCTCCCCCCAAAGCCCACAAGGGCCCCACCGACACCGCTCCGGTACCGGGCCGCGGGGTCAACTCCCTGCTCTCTTGAAATCATATCACTCGTCGGCTGCCCCTGGGCCTGCAATCGCGGCAGCAGGTCACCCCACAGTGGTTGCAGATGAGACCAGTCGGCAAACCACACGACTGGCATGCACAATTCAACCTGGTGCCATCGTCGGCGTGCAAAATGCCAAGCCAATACCAAAGGGCTGTCGCTGACCAGCAGGCCCGACGACAGGCGGGCATGCTGCACTTCCAGCCCCCTGCTCCAGTGGACATGCACCCCACCCGGTCGCCTGCCTCATAGAGCTCCCGCAGCCGATGCCGCCAATCCAGGTATGCCGGCGTAGCCAGGGTCTGCCTGAAAGTGTGATAGCCGAAACTCTCAACAAGGTTCGGATCATGATCCATGCTGCGGGCACCACCGCAAACAGGTTCAACTCCTGAGGCTATCGCAAACAAATCTGCCTTTTTGGCTCAACTGCCACGGCTTGAACCAAAAGGCAGGATGAACGATAACAAACGGTTCATGTGCACCCAAGCCTGCCAAACTCGACACATGATATATTTATTTATACTTATATTTATATTTTCTATATGCACATGAGGAGCATGGCCGCCAGCAGCACTGCAATGGCCAAAGGCGTCCCAAGTGTCAGTCCGGTGGCTGCACTTTCAGCAATGAGGTTCACCTCCCATCGTGATTCAAGGTCTTCCCACTGCATGAAAACCCCAGTAACCTGTCGACAGGCTCTGGCCGCCGTCGTGGAGTCGGAGACGGGCTAAGCTTAGCGGGTCGCGGCTAACTGGGAAGCTCCGCTCCGAGCCTGGGAGAGCTGCCGCCTTCTCTGGTCCTCACCACACCGCAGAGCGCAAAGCAAGGCACAGCGGCCAGGAGCGAGCGAGTGAGCGCGGCAGCCCTTTAGTGCGGAAGAGGCGCCACGAATCTTTCCTCGAACATGTGAGCAAACCTTCAGGGATGCCAGGGTTTTCAACCTCTGATCGGCCAGCTACTGCAGCCAAGCTTCATTTCAGGTGGCGCGACCTTCGAGCAATTGCACTGAGCTTAGGGGGCATCGAACAAGACAAAATTGCAGAACATTACCAATGACACAAAATCACAAACAGTCTTAAGCGGGCCTGCAGCGGTGCCGCCTCTTGTGGGATCGGCCATGACTGGTCTTCGCGCTCCATACCTGACAGGTCACTAGAAAATTTGAGCCGCCTAGCATCCCCTTCGAGGTCCGAGGACGGGGGCTAGGCGGCTAGACATGAAATCACTTTGCATCACGTCGCAAGTGCCTGCGCAATCCCGTCACGACGCCCTGGAACCAGGCCGGCCGGGTGCGAACATCCAACGAAGGTGCGACGTGGCACGTGTGTGCAAGCCCTTTGGGTGATCTGCTGGTGTTCTTGCCATTGGTTCTGCGTGTTGCTCTTTGCATCTTGCATGCAGCTGCCGCGAACATCCTCTCTTTGCCGCCGCCGTTTGTCAAGGTACATGATCACTGATCACCGCATGCTATGCTCGCAGCTGCTTTTTTGGAACCGGGGCCGAGGCATCCGGTGGGGGACCCCCACGCTTGGCTGAGAGCAGACTCAGCCTGGGAGCAGGGGACCACTGCCGAGCCGAGCCGAAGTAGAACATCCCTGGGCTGAAGACGAATGTGGCCACTGCACGCTCTTCGCGCAGGCGGATGCAACCCCGCCGAGAGCCACCTTTGACATGAAACTCGAGCATCTCGAAAGTCTTCCCCTTTGGCAAACCGGCCGCTCAGCCCTTCAACGGCCATTTCCCGCACCGCACTCAAACACCGAGGTGTACTGAAAGCTAGGTTCGTTAACGAGCAGACATCGCGTTGACAGATCAGGTAGGCCACACTTCTTGCATGTACACATTGGCCCAGTGCAGGGGAAGCATGAATCAACACAAAGCTTGCGAGGTAGACACAAGAATCTCCGGCTAGCATAGTGCAGTGTGCTTTCTACTTCGCATGCATCCAAGAACACATGTGTCCAATTCGTCTGCAACAAGTGAGGCCGCCCGGTTCTGAGCTGCGAACTGCAAACTTCGTTAACATCGCCGCAAGCACCGGAGTCTGAAAAAGACAGGCCCGGATTGAATCGAGAGCTCAAAGAGGCTTCTCGATGAAGCTTTAGTCTGCGGCGCTCGCACAGCATACCGTGCTCACAAATCGTCTACACCCAAGGATCCTGCACTACCAGGTCCGTTTTCCTCCTCTTCTGGCAACAGGTAATCCTTTTGCAAATCCTAGGTCGGACACGCAAGAGGAAAAAGGGGGAAGTTCTCGGCCCAGGCCTGGGATGCGAAGCGCGGCGCGGCGCAGCGCGGCGTGCGACAGGTCGCAGCAACGGTTCTCCCCCCCGGCTGCGCCTTTCGATCGATGTCAATGGGAATTTGACCCAGCACCTCCTGATTCCCAGGCAGCATCGGTGTGAGACGGATTTAAAAGGCTGACGGCAGAACATGCAAAACGGTGAAAGCTGGCCTTCCACTCCATGCACAGCTTGCAGTCTGCCCGTGTTGCGCACTTGTGGCAGCAGAGCCCTTGCTTGATTTGACAGGGCTCCTTCGGCATTGGTATTTCCTGTCATTCGAGAGCAATTCCACGGCGGCAAGTTAGATGATTTGAAGTGGAGCAGGCGCCTGTCCAGGCAGGCATTTCATTCTGGGCAACAATCCCTTCGGAGCAGGAGGCGGCTCTTGTGTCTCTGCACCTGCTGAGAAAGACATCGTCTGAGAATCCTCACAACTCCTTCGACATGAGGGGAATGGAGCCTTCACCTTGAGCTCCAGCTGCCGACTCGTCGCCATTCCCTCAAAAGCTCGCATCCGGTTGTGAACACAGAAAGAGGTGACATGGCCTTCTTGCGATGGCTCGTCTGAATTGCCTGCGAGGCATCGTGAAGGCTCCCCTTCCCTTGGCTTGCTGCGCCTGCCTTGTTCCTCTTGTCCTGGCTGAACAGGAGGGAGCGGTGGAGGTGGAGGTGGATGGCACAATGGATTGTCGTCGTCATCAGGGCCACAGAAAGGGTTGTCACCTGCGCCCAATGGCTCTCAAACGGACTCAACCTAAGCGGTGTCTCGGAATTTGCAAGCATCATTGCCTGGTAAGCAGGGTGGCAGTGGTGCGGGCTTCGGAGCGAGGTCGCCCTCCTCCGACTCAGTGCCCTTCGGAGCCGCGCCCTCTTCCGGCGTCGCGATGGCGAGGCCCCCAAGAAGGCCGCCCCGCAGAGGCACCACCTTCGGCTCGATGTACTTGAAGCCTTTCCTTGGGCGCAACGCAAGTTCGGAATGTCAGGGTCTTGAAATCCCCATGAACTTCGCTGAGCTTCACCTTGCCAGTGTCGCAGTCCACTTTCCAGTAGGCCTTCTCCTCCTCGTCCTTTCAGCCAGGCAAAGGAATAAGTGGAATAATGGATAACCGGTCTGAAATGTCACCTGGCCAACCTTTCACTCACCAAGAGAATCCAAGAGTCCTCTTCTGAAAAGGACGTGCTTGCAAAGCTGCTTCTGCATCTGGGCAATGCGGCAACCTCCACCTCGAGGGCTTTTGCACGAGCAGTTGGTTTCTTCTTTCTTCTTCTTGCTCAAGTTTGACTGGCCTGCAGCGGGGTTGGCGGATGTAGAAAAGCAAGATGCCGCTTGAGGTTCACCTCGCCACCAGTCTCTACAGGTTCGCACCTGTGATACAACCACGCGGCATGCAAAATACGATTCTCATTATGGCTGCTGAGCCACCGGGTCTACAACTCTCAGGGGCACAACTGCTCGGCTCCGAAAACAGCCTGTGTCAACCTAGGCAGCATCACAGCAGAGCGCAAGCCACGAGCATCGCAACATGCAGAGGAAACAGACAATTGATCCATGCAGCTTCGAAGTATGCATGGCCCTTGCTCGAAGGCAGCAGCTCGAAATCATGCCATTGGCATCTGCCCGGCATTGCAGGCTTCACAGCGCCCGGTTCCTGTCATAATACTAGCCTAGCTTTAATCTTGCGGAGCAAAATCACTGCACGAGAGTGGTTGCTTGTGAACTCGCTACCTGCGACTGCTTCTTGTCTTCATGGAGGATCTCGCAGGGCACCTTTTAGACCCTCCTTGCATTTAGTACGTTCAGAGGCGGGCTTACCAATCACAGGCAAAATGCATTTCAAGATTGCACACAAAGTGCTGAGTGACGGGCCAGAGAATCTTTGAAGGATCTGCGACGCATCGTCGACAGCAGCTGTACTGCCTCGGCAGCATCGGGAATCCAATACCGCGGATGCCTTCGAAGGGCCGCTCACAGCCTGAGCCGCATGCCCAAGCCCATTGAGATGCTTTGTCCTGGCAGACTTACCGGTTTTTTCCTTGCCCTTGCAAAGAGCATGTGCATTTGCGAAGCGGTGGCAGCGGCACGCTTTCGAACAAGGCTGAAAGGAAAGGGCCCGGCCCGACCTTCCCAAGAGGGCCGACCCGACTTAGGATCAGGAAGGTCGCAAGTGTCAACGTGCCTTGCCGACTGCTTGTGAGACTCGCCTTCAGCGAAGATGCTGAAGAGCACTGCACCAGCAAAAGCCACAAACCTCACGCGCTTCGAACCTCTGCAAGTGCCAGAGGCTCGATTCCCACTCTGCTATGCCTGGTCGAAAGTCACGCTTGGCTAGTTTCGTCGTGTTTCGATCTCTGCACTATGTCGAAGTCAGCCTCGGCTGCAGATCGTCCGCCGGAGAGCCATGCTTGCTGCAAAGCACCTCCTGGAAAGTAGCCTCTTCGAAGGCAGGCGCCGGAAGGAGTAATGACTGACCGAAACGGCAATCTGCCTTCCAATCTAAGTCCATCAGTAGTCGAACTCAAGGGTCGCTCACGGTTCACTTCGCGCTGACTGAGCCCATCTTGGCGAATGTGAGTATGTCACGTGCGAGGAGGAATAGGCCACAGTCAGCCAAGCACGCACGTACACAAATGGGCGAGCGTGCATGTGTTAGAACACACTCTACACACACATACATATATGTAGATGCCTGCATACATACATGCATGCATGCTTGGATACATGAGACACAAACACACACACACACACACACGTACGTACGTACGTACATACAGACATACATACATACATACATACATAGATATACATACATACAAATACTACGTACAGACATACATACATGCATAAATACATACATACATACATGCATACATACATACATACGTACGTATGTACGTACGTACGTGCATACATACACACCTACCTACTTTCCTTCCTTCCTACCTACCTACCTAACTACCTACCTACCTACCTACCTACCTACCTACCTACCTACCTACCTACCTACCTACCTACGCACGTGCATATGTATACACACATACATAATTACACACAAGTAGGTGTGTAGGTGTGTGTGTATATATATATATATGTTTGATTCATTTGTTTATCTGTTTGTTTATGCACTTGTTTATATACATATATATATATATACTGATACTTGTTCATACACATGCGAACATGTAACACACACACATGCGTACAAAGAGCAGAGTAGTAATATGCAACGCATATAAAGATGTGCATTACTGGTAAAAACAGAGGCAGGAAGATAACCTGAGCACAAGCCCAATCCGACAGGCAACCCGCGACCCCAAAACCATCACGATTTGGATCCAAATCTCGTCCAGGATCTCGAAGGACTCGTTGCATCTGCTGGCTGCTGGTCGCTTCTCTATGCACCCTATGTAGGGCTCTGAACCACGTGATGAGGCATGTACTGTAACTGTATGAGTCCCCGCTCTTCGGAGAGTGAAACCGCTGTCTGATTTCTGCCGCTGCTTCCTTGGACAGCAGAAGTTCTGCTGAGGATGCAGTTGGACTGTACAGAGGGCCACACGCAGGCCTCACATCACATGACGTTGCCCGTCAGCTTCGCCGCTGGCTCATTGATCAGCAACTGTCGGCAAGGCCGCAAGGGCCAGGGCCCAGTGCATACGACATGCCGGTGCGTGCACTAGCCTGGTTCGTCGAGACGTGCGACTGCGCCATGAAGTAGCGCTCATCCTTTGCCCACCACCTGATTCCATGAAGGAACGTCAGGGTCTGGTGTGCGTTCAAAGATGACTTCGCTCCAACTTGGTGCTGTCGTACTTGGCCGTGTACGACGACTCTCGTCGCAGGCGTTGAGTCTCCTCAAAGTTTTCTCGCACCTTCACTTCTCCATAGACCTCACAAGTCCATTCGTCACGACAGCCACAGACGTTGGTGCTAGCTCATAAAGATGTCTGTAGAGTCATTAGCATGTGATGCTTTTCGAGACATTGCTCCGTTGTGTTGCACACATGCACACGACAGGTCCAAGACCGCTGCTGGATGCTGCACCAGAACTTCCTTCTGCGTCGGTGCCTCCAGGACGCCCCAAGTCGGCTTTCCTCGAGGTGCGGTGCCAGAAATAGCGTCGAGCTCTTAAGCTCTCTCACTCTCGCACCTCGCCTATCGAGCCGTAGACCTTCGTGGCAGCAGGTGATCCTTCCAATGCTGCAGCCTGCGACTACAGACTTGCGGGCTACCCCACTCACAAAGGCCACAAGCCTGGCCTGGTGCTGTGCAAACTCGCGTTGCAGCAAGTCTTCTCTTGCTCTCTGGTCCTGGCCGGACTAGATGCTGCTAGAAGCAGGGAGGGAACAAGAACCAAGGACCAGCACGTCCTCGTTGCCATCCCCGTCGAACCTTCGAACGGAGCCCCAGCCAGGGCACAGCCTGCCAGCACACAGCGGACAGGGCCGTTGCTGGAACTTCCCCAAACAAGGCCTGTAAATGTCTGACAGATAGACGAAGAGGCAGCAACCAATAACGCAAAGCATTGCCTTGTCGAGTCAACCAGAGCAGCTGAAACACAAGCAAGATGGCCTGCTCTGAGCACCACACGACATCTACATAGATCGCGGTGCTCTGCATGCTGCTCCAGTCATCACCCAGCAAACTGCCAAGCAACTTCGAGCGAAACTTCTTGGCCCTTCCAGTGTTCGCTCCAAGCCCGAGTGCGGACCCCAGGCTCCGTGTCCAAACACATGTGCATTGCAGTTCCGTGTTTCCTGCTGCGGGTTAGCGTGACTAACCACAGGCGAGAATTTGAGCCGCTAAAATCGAAAACACTAGTAACACGCTTCGTCTGATGTTCGCATTGTAGTACGTCCCTTGCGAGCAGAGATGTTTTAGCCACTAGGATAAAGTTGTGTTGGTCGGTGCAGTTTTTTCGTGGTGGCTTGCAAATCGAAACTGTCGAAACAAACGGAAAGGATTTCTGGCATCAGTAGAACAGTTGTGCATGGTTTCAAGGTTCACGGTGCTGGATAGTTGCTGGGCTAGCATCGTGCACAGTGCTCTGCGATCTTGCTGTAAATGCCACGCCTTTGGGAAAGGTTGAACCGCAGTGTGAAGACCCCCTTCGTTGGCGGATTCGGAGCAGGGGAGTGATTGAAACACGGGAACACAGGGAAAAAACACTTTTGGGAAATGTCACACCTGGCGGACAGTCAAGCTGGTGCACGCACTGTCTCGCCGGAAATAGACCACATATCGAAACGCTGGTCCACACGAATTCAAGTTGTAAAATGCTTTGTTCAACACCGCCATCACGAGCAAAGTTGTTGCAGGCTTGTTTCGGGTACCCTGCCGCCCTGTTGCGAAGACAGCGGAAGCTGGCCTGGAGAATGGCATGCCGGCAACAGGATCGTCTGCCTGACAAGAGACAAAACAGAGGACACGCTTGTGTCGGAGTATTGCTGACAGTCGCCTGCCTTCTCTAGCCAAGCTCCAGCCTGCTGCCACTACAAGTACGATATCCTTGGTCAGTCAACATGAACTTTCTGACAACTGGCCAACAACCCCCTTCAAAAACCAGTTTGCCATTCAGCAAAGCCTCAAACTAAGTTGCGATGCCACGGCTTCCCGCGACATCACACACAAGCTTGAGCCATGCGAAGCCATCCGACCGCAACATCCATATCCTGACACTGCCTGAAGGCGTCAACCTGCTCAGCTTCGGGTAACAGAAACACGGCTGTCGTGTCCTGAATTTAATCGGGCACGGCTAATCAGCACATGCAGGAGGAGGCCTTATACAAATGCACGGATACGGGTCTAGCCTCTCAACGGAAATGGTGTAGGTTTTCTTCCAGGGTCTAGATATGCTTACAGGGCTCAGGGATCGGGGCCTTCATGGACCAATGCGGACAGTTTGAGGGCACCCAAATCGGCAATCCAAATATGATGAGACATTGGCAGGCAACATCCTGCTTCAGAGGGGTAGCAGCTACCCGTAATCCCAGAAGTTGTCCTGCAAAAAGTGGGCGAACTGCTTCATGCATTTCGGAGTCGCAAAAATATCACATGCATATATTTTTTCGCACGCGCATGGCACAGCTCTTTGTTGCCCGTCAGCACCGACTGCTTTCAAAAGTTACACCTCTATGGATAATAATTACGCTAGAGCGGAGATTATGGATACGAGTTGTTCAGCTTTCGTGGTTTTGGCAATGTGGCTGAACCTTCCGATACAACGGAGTGTTGTCCATTCGCATACGGGAGTAGCGCCATGTGCTTGTTGGATCTGTGGTCTGTGGTAGGTATGGTGAAAAAAGAGTTATTGACGGAGGAGCATCTGAAACGATATAGTCAATGCCTTGCGCCGCCCCGATTTTGCCAGGCACAATGTCGATAGGCATGTGAGCCCATGAATGTGACTTGGTACTCCAATGTGTCAACATGACGACACAGATGCCCTAATAGTTGAAAGAGCCGTTGTGAATAGAGCTGGAAAGGAGCGGGGACACGACACGCCGAAAAAGCGAGGCCGGCAAGATAATCGTTTGAACAGTCCGCGGTGGACTGGTTCAAAACACGGTGGTAGAAAGAAATTGAAGTGGACGGTGTTCGTTTTGTTAATTTGCGCTGGTGAAAGTATAGTATAGTGCGCTGTCCATACCGTAAGTGTGTATCGATAGGACGATAGAACGATGTACCGTAAGCTCCACCGCACCGCAAGCCTTGGTGCATGCTTTGAGAGCACCGCTGGTTGCCTTGTGTTTTCAGGCATTTCCTCGACATTCGGACGAGAAGTTCTTGTTGTCACACTCCTCCTCCCCTGTCGGGTTCCTTTCGTGCTGCAGGAGTCGTTCCATGCTAGCTGCTTCCTGGAGTCTACTCGACCCCATGCTGGAGCAGTACGCTAGAAAGATGCTGATACCCTGCGTGCTCTACTTGTTCTGCGAACTTGTTGAGCTTGTCATAGCCGTAGTGGACTCGGGCTTGGATATTTCTCTGTTTCGCGACTTCTTTTGCTGATGAGCGGAGTGCAATAAATCGGGTGCGCAAGAGCTTAGAAGCAGTGACTGCCTGTGAGGCTCTGTAATTTACGTTTTCTCTCTTAGAAAAGAATGCATCCGAATAAACGCCTAAGTATTTTATCTCAGCCCAGACATGTGAGGTCATGGCCAGCTTCGAAAGGTTGGGTGAGTAATAAATTCTTTGGGCAAAATGTAAGCGGAAATGTTCACACTTGTCCTGGTTGAGGATAAAGCCCCGGGTCCGTCCATGATATCGTACTAAGTGAAATAGGCGGTTAAGTTGTGGTGCAGAACACGAAAGGAAAACTGTATCATGGTGCTGATTCGTGCTGATAGCTCTGCTCTACATCGAAGAATGAATGGCCAAGTAGGTATGGCGAAAGGGTTGGCAGAGCGATTTTTGAGAGGAGTCACGGATTATACAATTATTAACAGTGGGGTTGTTGTATAACGCCATGATAATATGCTTCGTACGGGCGGGAACCTCGGCATGTTCCACATTATTATGGCCGTAAAGGTGAAAAAATCAAATTGCCTTTGACCAGTCAAACGAGGGCGCGAATGGGAGTGCTTTATCTTTCAAAACCGCCCAGTAATTTGCGCATAAGGTGTATCGGTTGCGTGGTGGACCGGTTTTTTGTAAAGCTGCACTGCTGTCCCGGAGTCTGGGGTCAATTGTGTCTCATGGCGGGATCACAGAAGCGAATATTCTGTAAGAGACATTTGTAAGCGATATAGGTCGGTAGTTGGAAAGACACCGCGTGTTTTTTTTTGTGGTTCGTGACCAACATGACAACCTCAAAGAAAAGCCGGGAGTGACCAACATGACAACCTCAGAGAAAAGCCAGGAATGTGGGATTGTTCAAGAACGGGCTTCACTACGGGCTCCTAACTCACAGCACCCCGCAACACTTATCCTTGTGCCTGCACGGGTGGTCGCTGTCTTTGAGCCTTGGTGTTACAAAAACACTCAGCTCGTTCCTGTAATTTTTTTGGGCGGCCCCATGCCAAGCTCTCGCATGTCCCTGGACTCATTGTGGGTAGGAAAAGAAAGCGGGACCAGACCCCCCTAGCAGCCTGTGAAGTTGCAAGAAGGCGTAAGAAAAAACAGGGGAGGGAGTGGCTGTGGGCCTGTGGGGTAAAGTTGAGCCCACGCCAATTCGGCGCATGGCTCAACCCAGTGGAGTCTTTTACAACCCGGGGGGTTCCTCACAGGCGAGCGCCTCCAACAGGTGACTCAAGCCAAATACCCAAAAGTTTTATTAAGTTGAGTTGAGTTCTGACTCCCTTGTCTTAGCAGGAAACACGTCAAGACCCTCATGACTTTTGGAGATACCCAGGACTGGCATGGTTTGGAAACTCCGGATCTGCAACGCAGTCTCTGTGTCCATGATCATTTGCGGAATGGTTCACCAACGGACCTCCACAGGCTGGACGCCTTTCACGCACAGTCACTTCGCAAAATCCTGCAGATCAAAGCTACTAAAACACCAAAGTCCTCATAGACAACCCCCACGCACAGAAACCATTTGCAACGAGGGAGTTATTGCAGCACTGGCCGACCAACCCTCTCATCCACAGGGCACAGTTGCAGTTGTTCAACCACGTTTTGAAAGCAAGTAGATGCCGTTGACTGCGGCCGGTAAACGAAGTAGCTCGCACTTCTCGTACTTCAGGGTGACAGCAGAACCGTTTCTTGCTGAAAGTGAAGCTACGATCGATGCAAGAGACAAGTGGCGTTGGATGAAGCAGCACATCCATGTGACTACAAGCTCCGTACGGTGACCTTGAATTTCAAACGGGCAGGATGGGAAACACAAAAGTTTCGAAAAAGGCGGAAAAGGGCCGCGACGTGAGGTGGATTGTGTGGAGCATACCCCGCAGGGGCGGGTTGGGGGTTGGGGTTGAACCCAGGTTGTAACCCCAGGGGCCGGGTCCAA